TAAAAAAAAATCAGAAACTAATGTGGTCATCAATGGAAGGGTCTGTGATGATTTTTATATTATTGTGCAGAAAAGTGATCTTAATTACTGTCTATCCTCAAGTTTGATTGAAGAAACTTTCATCCAATTATATGTAAATGTATGTAGAAAATACATATAAATAATATTTTTCTTGATTATCAAAGTTGAAAGAATACAAAATAAATAAAAATAACCTTAGAAGGCAGGATGTTACTACAGTTTCTTATGGATTGTAGTCAGTATTTTTATGATAAATTTTGCATTTGTGATAATGACTATCTTGAATTGTACAGATTTTAATAGTGGTATAATGAATGTACATGGGCTTTTCTCTCCCAGTTACTTCTCAACTCATGCTTAAGGCCTGTGTCATTGCTTGGCTCGAAACATTTAACTGTACAGTGTAATCAATGTAATCTAGTTGTTTTAAACATTATAAGAATGATGAACCGTTTGGCTATACGCGGGTAGATACTAATTTCTGAAGTGTTTATAAAATCCTAGCACTCTGTGGCTCTCTTTGGCAGCAAAAGAAACCAGTAACTTTTTTGAGAATGACAAAGTGGATAATCAAAGCTATAAATCACTGCAGTCATTTGATGTCAAGTTCCTTGTAGTCTTTCTTAAGAAGTGGTTTTCAAGCATGAACTGAGCTTATTCTGCAGAGTTGTTAGTAAATGTGTAGACTGTTTGTTGAATCAGTGGTCTCCGTCTGTTACTTCTGTGTGCTTCTCAGTCACATAATAGTTAAAGTATTGTTTCATGGTTCTGAAGTACCTAAGTTCTTTGACATAATTGCATAATTTTATTAATATTTTATTAAAAAACCTGAGTTTACTTGCCATATATCCAGGCATGTGGGAATGTTGCGATTTGCTGCATTTTTGACTGGTGTTCGGTGTGATATTTTGATTGTTGGAAAAAATATACGTAATTTATTTTTTTTTTTAACACCTCATCTGTTTTTCCCACCAAGGCCAGGTGCCCAAAAAAGATAGAAAAAACTTTCATCCTTCAACACATACACCATCACTCATACTTAATCACTGTCTTTGCAGAGGCACTCCCAGAAATGACAGTTTAGATGTCTCCTTAAATACAGGCAGTTGTAACTTCCCACTTCCCAGACCAAGTCTGGCTAACTGGGTTTCACCTAAAAAAATCCCTTCACAAAGTATTACCCTGCTCACACGCATTTTCGCATGATAAATCACTTTAGACAAAAAAATAAAGATAGAGTTGAGTGAAAGGCAGTGAATCAGACATTTCCAGTGCGAACTAAATTTTTATTTATTATTTATAATCAGAAAGAACTAAATTTGTATAAATCACAATACATGCTGGAAGAAATGAACATTACAAATGAAATTACACATTACTTGGTTTGCCCTGAACAATGATCTTACAGTTTCTGCCATAATACTTTGGACATTTAACTACTCTGTCTTCTGTTCCCCATGCCATCTTATTGGGCATCGAGAAAATGGTTGCCTTTTGCTTTGACAAATACACAGAAGTCTATCATTCCTAATCTAATATTTTTTTATCCATAATGTTATGGCCAAACCCATCATTGCTGTTCTTTCTGTGTTGACCATCACAGACTATTGTCGAATTGAATTTCAAAACAACATTCCTACATAAATCTTTATCTTTTCCTCCTCTGTCCTTTATGCGGAGATGAGCTATTGATCCAAGGCACTCTACTTACCCCTTCCCTCTTCTATCAAACCTGATTGCTTCCCACTTCCTCTATGGGTTTTAAACTTTTACCCTGATTAAAATAAAACCTAAATGCCTCTGAAGAATAGTTCTCCCGGAACATGCCCTGAACTTTCATCTCCCACAGCATTATTTACTACTGGCTTTCAGCATTTTTGTATTCATTTATGAATTGAAAGTCCTGATGTTGTAATTTGCATAGCATTGAAAAGCCAGTACACAGATAGGAGTTTTACGACATTCGGGTCTGACTTGGACCATTTACAGAGTAACACTGTGTAAACTTTGTAAGTGGTCCAAGTCGAACTGAAATGCCGTTGTAAGCACTCTCCTATGTGTGGGTTATTTGTGTAGTGTTCCATCACAGTATTGTGCCTTATTCTTTACAAAGCCAGTATTGAGTACTTGAAAAGATATTCCATTTCTAATCAAATTACACAGTATCGATAATATACACCAAGGTTGGGCCAGACTAGACAGACATCTATTTTTTTTTTTTTTTTTTGGAAAGTTTCCCTATATTATTCAAAGGGCTGAGTGGTTATGGTAATAGGGCATGTAGAAAGGATAAGAGGGATAGGATAATTAAACATGTATAAATCTGGGTGGAAGGTAGGGGTTGTCTCAGGAGGATTTGGAAAAAGGGAATAAAAGAGGTTTTGATTTTTAAAATTTTTAGCATGTACGAGTGAATGGAGACAATGGCATTTAATGGATGTGAGGTTGACGTTTGAGCTAGATAACTTATGAAGGGATTCAGTAAAAACCAGTTAGCTTGATTTGAGGTTCTCTGGGTGGTGGCAAGGGATTATATATATATATATAACACCCACACACACACTCGCTTGTACAAATGTATAGACAGACACGTACCTAAGGACAGACTTAGTGTAAATCAGGGTCATGCCCAATTTACTTGTGTTGCATAAATCATTATCATAAATCCAGTAAGGCTATTCAAAGCTTTCACATTCCATGCCATTGCCCATAGGTGTCAGCAAAATTTTTAAAAGGGACAATATCCCTACTATTTATGTTTTAAGAAAGAGATGCTGGGTTTTTAGAGTGGCACCCCTAACACAACCACTAAAACCCCATGTCAGAGGGGGGCGGTAGTCCATCATGAATCAAAGCACTGTCAAGGTTTCCTTTTCCATTATTGTGATTCTGACTTTAACTGTGGTTATAAAAGAAAAATTGAGCTTCTGCCATATTTTATAAATTATAGTGTGCAAAATTATGTTAGCAGTAAAAGCTTAAGCTTTTTCTCTTATTTTGTGCCATTACAAGAATGAGCTTAAGCTAATGCTCAAAGACTGTCATTACTTTGGAACTAGGGACCCCATAAAAACAATATTTTTTCTTTATGCAAGCTATAGCACGCAAATTCAGTATAGTTTAGTAGGCTATATACACTCAACCAATATCTGTGGTAGGTGATATGTATAATATTTGGGATTGTCTCTTTAAGAATAAAAAAAGTAGAGAACATTAAATCTTTGTACATTACATTAAAAATCATGAGGATTTGTACACACATGCTGCATTTTTTCCCACATCATATTTTTTCTATATACATGAAAACAAAACTTGTTTTCACTTTGCAATATTCTGTTTGCAGCAAGTTTTCTTTACATACTGTATACAACTATCATTTAACCACATAAGTGTTAGGTGCTGTTGATTTTTTTCAGTCATGTTTTTTGATGAGAGTACAATGTCTGATATCCTAAAGATATCTTCATGATGGTTCTTTTCTTAGATTACTATTTTTGGTTTTAACTTGAGATTAAAAAATATGGTCTTGCAGTGTTGATGTATGAAGATGCTAGTGTAAGTACCACTGTGTAGTAATAAGTCCCTAATAATTTACATTAAAAATTTATATATAACCATCAGTAAGAAATGTGCAGTTTTGTTTTTGGCAAGCCAAAAAACATACTTGTGCTTAGGAAAAATATTTTATGGCTAATTAGTTGAAGTGCTTGGTATTACATTGTTTTCCTAATTATTTTGATGCTTGAGTTTTAAAATATTAGTTTTTGCTTCTTTTAAATTATTATTTTTATTTTTGCTCTGCTTTTTACCAGAAAAGTTTTTAAAGAAAAATATGACCTTGCCTATTACATGAAAGCACAATTATCAGCAGCAAGATGAACTAATGTTACCGAGAATTGTTTTTGCTCTTCATTCATTTCCTTTTTCTTGGGGGAAAAATAAATGAAAAACACTGCACTCATTTAACATTTCTGAATTTAGGTTGATGCATTCAACATTTGATAAAAAAAATTAAGCGGTTTTTAAATATTTCCTTAAAAATATTAATATTCTTCAGAAAATAATGTACACTCAAAAAATGTGAAAAAATTTTTTTTAAAAAAAAAACAAATAAATTTTAATGGAAAACAATTCCCCGCTTCATCCATTATAAAATCTGGGAAATTT